GCAGCCACCGGGTTAATCCCCTAAACTGCTATGGGTGGGGTCTTGTCAGCCGTGCAGGGCCCTGCGGGGAGTGGCAGTCATGCCAGGTGTGTTCCTCTGCGATAGGCGCCCCTGCTGGGCAGCTGTGTGCCAGCAGCAGCCTTTGGGTCTGGCCTAGGAGGCTGTGCATAGGACTGGGATTCCGGTTGGCTGCTGGGAGTGCAGCTGCTCCCTCTGGCACTGCTGCAGGTGCACACCGGCCTTTCCGATGCCCCTCTAGTGCTGCCGCCGCTGACACACACAGGCCACTCCCGGGCCCCACTGGTGCCACTGCCACCGGCTCGCGCTGGCCGCTCCCGGGCTGCTTGGTCGCCACGGCGGCGGGCTCTCAAAAGCCACTCCCAGTCCCCTCTGGTTCTGCCAGCACACATGGGCTGCTCCCGGTCCCCTAGGGCACCCCTGCCTCCAGTGCCCGCTGCCACTCTCCCACTACTGGGCCGGTGTGTTGCGGTCCATGCCCATTGGGGGAACAACTGGCAGGCTGCTTAGTGCCATGAGGGGCTTCAGAGCTGCACTCCCACCCAAGGGGTTAGGGTGTCTAAAGTTCCCAGGGATTCCCAGATGCTGGCTAAGTGTGCCGGGATGACTTCATCCAGCTGTGGGGTCCCTGTCTCTTTAAGACTTGCAAAAAACACTTGCTTTTCTTTTGTCTCAGGGGTGCCAGTTGTGGGGACCTGCCCGCAGGTTTTACTTTTCCGTTTCTCTAATATCCAGCACCCCATGCACTTTGTGTCTGCGCTCCAGGTGTGGATTTCTAGTGCTGGTTGTTTAGCAGTACTGGGCTTTCACTCCCTCCCCGTTCCAACTCCTTTCTTCCTGCTGGGTTCTGGGGTGGTGCGGTGTTAGAGTCCCACCTGGCCGTGGCTTGTGTCTTACCCCCTTCATGTGATGTTGAGGTCTCGCAGATGTAGATGTATCCTGGCTGTTGTACTGTATCCACTGGTGTCTCTTTTAGCAATAGTTGTATTTATTGTATTTTTATAAATAGATATGTTTTGGGGAGGAGATTTCCACTGAACTACTCATGCCGCCATCTTCCCTTGATCCTTACACATAACTTTTTATTAAGCATTCACATGTTTCCTATCTGAAGGTAAGAGGAACTTAAAATATGTCCCAGATTATTCAAAGAACTTTTTATTACAATTAAAAAAAATTTTTTAAATACATGTTTTAGAGAAAGGATCCAATCTAAATAGCTATATAGATGTGAAGACGTAAAGAGAAAGTGCACCTTCTGCATTAGGAAGTGTATCCATACAAAAAAGCACTTATTGGTCACCTGCAGGTGGGAGGCATTAAACCAGGAGCTTTGTTCATGACTGTGGCTCTTCCAGTTTGGCAGTTCTCAAAGTGTGGTCCCAGGATAGCAGCATTACATTCTCCTGAGAACTTGTTAAAAATGCACATTCCTGAACCTCACTCTAGAGCTAATGAATCAAAAACTCAGGGTTGGAGCCCAATCTGTGTTTCAATAAACTTTCCAAGTGACTCTTAGAGGCGCTAAAGTTTGAGAACTTCTTTAGTTCAGTAAATATTTTAAGCTAAGAACAAGCACTGAGTTCAAAGCTGGGTGTGGGAGGGGGTGGTGCACAGAAATGCTAAGAGAGCAAATACACATGAAGCAAAGACTTTCATCCAGCAAATTTCTGCAATGAATTTTCTAGAAGCCTGATGGCCTTTTTAGGAGGCTAAAAAGGACTAAAAAGAAAATATCAGACAGATTTGTTTTAAAACATTATAGGAACAGAAGAAGCCCAGAATTTGTTCGAAAGAAATGTGAAAAAACAGGAATTTAAATCTTACTACTTGTGTGAACTGGGTATGCAGCAGGCACATTTTTAAGGAGTCTGCCCACTCACACTCCTTCCATTGCCTGTCTAGAATCTGTCTCTCAGTCTTTTAACACATGAAGAGACTCTTTCAACTGTATTTGTGTGCCAGGCTTCAGGCCCTGCTAAGAAGACATGATTGTTCCTCTAAAGAGTTAAGGATCAGTATTGAGTAACAATCAGGCTTTGCAGGTGGCTGGACCTGTAATACATGTACCTGTAACAGAACCTCAGGTGCTACAGGGCAGCCTCATTCATTACAAGGCTGAAGATACCCAGAGAAAGACACCATTCTGCAGGCAGGAAGCAAGATGAATCAGGGATGTGTTTGCTGGTTTCCCAGCTCCTTCCTGATCTAGACTCAGCACCTTCCTAAGTCTAATGGCAAGTCTGCCCTTGAGTTCAGCAAAACATCCCTGGGTCCCTAAAAGAGTAACCTTCTCTGATTCTCTGACCCTCCTTTTTTTTTTGGTTTGTAAAACTGAGCTCAAGTTGGTTTCTGTGACTCACATCCAGAAAGTCTTTGCTAAGACATGCAAGCAATTTATCTAATCTCACTAAACCTCAGTATCTACATTTGTGAAAGGAGACTTGTAACATCTGCCTCATTGACTGGTGGTGACCTACATGAGATAATGGGCATAAAATTCATACTGAGCTCAATAAAGTCACCCCTTCAAGTGTTAGAGTGAGCTCTGTACTCCCCCTCTGCTCCAGGGCAGACGGAGCAGGGTGGCTGTCACATGGTCTCCACCTGCTGCTGGGCATCTACAGATCAGTTATTCCTATTGGCAAATGAGGACCAGAGGCTTTTCAGGGATTTCAATAACTGGAGAAGCTGTGCTTTCAAAAAGCTTCTTTCTTTTTCTAAGATTAGTCTTCTTGAGTATTTTAGAACAAACTTTTAAAATGACAAACACAGAGCTTTTTCTTCCTCCGTTCAAAACAGATCAATACACAGTGCCAGATGCTGAGGACATAGTTACAAGCAAGGAGCCCACATGTAGAAAGGAGATACAGCTAAAAATGCATCATTACATGACAGTGGGATAGGTATAGATCTTACTTCAGGATGCTCTAGCCAATTCCATTCACTCTCAGAATGCATTAAGTCAGAAGTGCCTACTTCTTTCTCTATATAGGAAATAGTATATTCCTCCATTCAAAAGATTTATTTGAAGAAAAACAGTTATTCATGCTGTAAATGTGAATTCTTTTGGGGTCCACATGAAGTAAAAGATCTGTGTAGTTTGTATTTGCTGTAAAATAATAAATCATGGCAGATAATAAGATACAATTCCTACTGGAATATGGAGGCAGAGAAGAAAAATATAAGAGAGCTTTCTGATTTTACTTCAGGCAAACAATAGGTGGATTTTCTTTTCATTTTATTTTGTAAATATTGCCCTAATAAAGGGTTGGGATGGGAAAGAGAGTCGGAAGTATTTTTGGACCAGATGCTGGGGTTTCTAGAATCATCGTTGCCCATAACCCCCACCATCATCCCTCAGGAGCTCTGTTACCAGAACAAGACAGGGTGAGTGAGACACAGAGCCTGCTGCGGGCCTTGGGTTTCCTGGGGCTGCCCTGGCATGCCTTGTAGAGGGAGGCGCAGCTGGGGCCTCTTGCAACATGCTCATGCCAGGGACTCTGTTACCAGACTGACCCTAATTGAGTCCAAATATGCAAAATCTGAACAGCTTCAAAGGAAAATTAACTGCCCAAAGGGAACTGTTGTAAAATTCCAAGTTGAGTGAAATGTACATTTATTAGTAACAAAAGCTTTTGGGTTTTCTTGAGAAACTCACTCAGACTCTCACACTCCATGATACACCGGGCCCAACTAGACAGTGAAGGGCACCCACCCCGATGGAGGAGAGCTGTTTCTAACACCAGGAGAGCAGCAGCCAGCCGGTCATGACTCCAGCACAGTCAGAAATGGGGCTGAATTACCATGAAATGAACTCACAGCAAGGTAAGGGACACCAGACATTTCTGAACCTTGTATGGTTTTCAGATAAGTCATCTTAGCTTCATCCCTGTAGGGGGATGTCTAGGGTCTAATCACCATAATTTTGTTTAAAGCCATTATTTTGCCCTTAATAATATTCCTGAAATTATATGAGCTTTGCCTGTTTGGGGCTTTGTATTAGTTTAATAGACATATTTTTTTCTGAGTCCACAAAGTTTGTGAGACTGTTTTCATATTTCAGATAAAATGGGTCTTCCGTGGAAGACGTAATGCCACCACAGCTTCAGTCTGCTCTGTAATTCTGTCTTTTATTTATAGTGTTTAATCATTATTAATACTAAAGACAAATAATTCCAGTAGTTTCCAGGCTGGGGTGGGGGGCTGTTATTGCTATCTCTGTGCTCCATACTAGGAAGGTATAACTTTTAATAGAACTTCTAATGTGTCTCTAAGAGTTTCCATGTAGCAGCATTAATTTCATGGAAATGTCACAAAAACTAGAGCACAGCTGAAGTCCATCTGATTCTATCACTTAACAGCTTGAGACCTTCAGAAAGTCCCTTAACTTTACTAAGCCACGGTTTCATCATTTTAAAAAGGATGGGGTTCTCATCTTTGGACAAAAACTCTACTGAAGATCTCTTGTGTAGTGATTTTTACCTTGCTGTGATTGTTACTATTAAAGTGCCTTTTGCATATCACAGAATCAGGCCGAGGGCTAGGTGGGCCCACCTGAAATAACCAAGTGGCAGATGCAGTGTGCTCTCTCAAATCCACTCCGTGACAATCACCCGCTGAGCACTGTGCACACTTTCTCATTTACCCTCACAGCCCTTAAGGTAGCTGGTATCATCATCTCCACTTTGAAGATAACAAATTCAAGTCTTGGCTTGAGGGTAACTTCTTGATAAGCAAGCATAATGTGGTTCATTCTTGGAATTCAAACCCAGGTTTGCCTGCCTCCTAATTCAGCACTCAGTCATGACCCAGGTCATGAGCTTTACGTCTTGAAGTGCCAAAAGGACTGTGCATTATTAAGTGGCAGCTCCCTGGGGTATCGTCCACTCCAAATAGAGTGTAAACACCTCTAGCATCCAGTGCTCCCATGATGCACCCACAGGCCCGGCAACCTTGTCCACACAGGCCTTCACACTCACCTGCAAGGCCCCGGTGCTCGGCGCACCATGCTGTTATCCTCCCTTCCCCAGGTCCACTCTGACCTGATGTTGTCTCAGAACCTGCCAAGAATGAAAACACAGGTTTTTCTGAAAAGTTAAGGTCTCCTAGATTGCAAGATCAAGTGGTGATGCCTCCCTGTGGTCCATGAATACTGGACTGTGATTGTGACCACTGTAAGAGCAGAGTTGAGTAGGTGCAGTCCTTGCCTTGCTTTACTCTTCTCTAAATGATGGCTGTGAGAGCTTGGGGCTCTCACAGCCTGGATTTGAGTCTGCTCTCACCTGCCTACCCAGCCTTCCTCATTTATAAAATAGCAATGATGGTCATGATTTGTGACGCACCAGGACTGTTCTCAGGATCAAAATTACATAGTGCACTACAAAAGCCTAGCAGGCAGTAAGCAGTCAACGAGTGGTCATTAATGTGATTCTTATTCATCAAGATGATTCTTGGCCTGAATTTGAAACATATGTGCTCATCCTCATAATCCGGGTAGGTGTGATCCTTATTTATTTGACAAGGTCTAGCCTGTATCTTGGTTCAGTCCAACTAGTATTTACTAGATACATACTAAGTGCCCAGCATGGTGAGGAATTTTTAAAAGGCATTTAAGCCTTTCTCACAAGATTCTGATACCTGAGGAAAGACAAGATTTATACCACATGAAAATATAATGTATAACAAAGAGACTGCATCCCATGATTTATTTTATTTTGTTTTATTATTTTATTTTAATCTTACTGTATTTTACCATGATATATTTTAAAATACTAAACTGGACTTTGTGAAAATTAAGGGAAACCTCACTGACATGGCAACAGGAGGCCAGCAGGGGGAGCTCCCGTGCCCACCACTCCTAAATCTCACTCCCCACTTGAAGAGACAGCGCCTTGCAAGTGGAGACTGTTTTAGCTATGTTACTCCTCAGCGGGAGGAAGGAAGTTTTCTGCCTTCCACCTCCCCGCAACAGCCCAGCCAATGACAGAACTATCACAACTCAGCCAATGACAAGCCACTATACGTGGGACTCCCAGTCTACATTAATGGACTTTTTAGCTTAGAACAAGCCCTGCAACTCGGCCTCTTCCTCTGTAAAAGAGTGTTCCTCTCCAGACATGCCTTCAGTTCCGATGTAGCTTGCTTGTCCCAAATTGCAATTCTCTGCTATTCCCGAATAAACCCTTTTTGCTGGTAAAATAACCAGCTGTTTTATTTTTAAGGTTAGGAGACAGAACCTGAACCGAAATGTGCTGCAGAAAGTAATGAGAGAAAACAAAGGCTTTCGAGAGGTGATGGTTAAAGAAATAAGCATTGAAGAACTGGTGGAATTTAGTCAGAGGTGAAGAGGGAAGTTTAGCTGTAGCTGGATCCCTTCCTTGCTGTCAGGAATGACCCGCTGGGCCTCTGTCCCTGAGTTCCACAAGGACGAGGGAATGAGCCTGAAACATGGCAGTCTCGAAGACACTCTGTTTGAGGCAGCAGCTCCACCCAGATGATAAAGGCTGGTTCACGACTGCTTCACAGTCATTGCAAAGGATGCAAGGCTGCAGCTGAGATGCTCGTGACTGTGGGATTTCTGCAGACCGGCCCCGGGCCTGAGGGCACTTCCTTCACCTCGGAGGTGGGTTTGCTCAGAGGGCTGGAAATCAAAGTCCCAGATGGAACCAGGACTTGGGACCAGAGGGACAGGGCAGGCTGGTCTCAGGGCTGTTCTCTGGCCCCTAAGGTGCTATATCAGAGCCATCTCCATGGGGAGCTACCTAAGCTAGTGCCTTCAAATGTTTTAACCACAACCCCAGTAAGAAGTGTGCCTTACATAATAGCCACACACACAACTGAAACAAAAGTTTCATGAACTGATATTTAGCCTTACTACATGTGATATATTCTCATACTTTTTTTATTCTAAGCACACCCAATCCACTTAAATAGATTTTATAACCCACTGCTGGCTCCCCTCTCTTACAGATGGACAAGAGCTCTGGCTCATGGGAGAGTTTCTCACACATTTAGTGTACACAGGACCCAAGCTTCACCCAGAATGTTTGCTTAAAACACAGATTTCTAGAGATCCAAATTCCACAGTCCTGGGGAGGACTAAGAATTGAATTTCTAACAAACACCCTGGTGACTGTGATGCAGGCACCCCACTTTAAGAAACACTGGAAGAGAGTGGAGGAAGATGGCAGAGTAGGATGGTACCGTGAGCACATCCTCCCACCTATTCACAGAGGAAGCAACTACAGCAAATACAACCAGCCCTGAAAACAGCCTTAAGAGACCACATACACTTGAAGAAGAAAGGACCACACTGAGAAGGGTAAATGGTCAGAGCCATGATCGGTCAGGACCCTAGCTCTTCCCCACCTCAACAAGCAGGAGGGACAGGAAAAGAGTGGAGAGGGGATAAGTGCTCAGTAATCTGACACACCTGCCCTGGGAGATCTGCTCTGGGAACATGAGTCCACATTGCACTGAGCTTTGATTACTAATGGGGTTGGACACCAGGGAGAGTTGGAGCCCCATAGGGGCTGAGGCTCCTGTCACTTGTGGAGGTTCACACTGTTGGTCCTGGTAAGACACAATACAGAGACAGCAATTTGAAAGATTTGCCAAAAGTGGGAAGTGTGCCAGAGTGGTGGGGGTCAGAGGAACTCTCTCCAGAGGAGAAAGGGCAGACAGAGGACACTGTCCCAGCCCTCCCTCAACCCAACTGCAAGGTCAGGCACTTGCAGGAGCCACTCTGGAGCTGTCCACCTGCCTTGCTGGCAGCTCAGCCCTGGCAGCAACATTCCAGTGCATACCCACCCCACTGGCATACTTAGCAGAGGTCCAACATTTCCCACTGGCAGGCAGAAGATGGCCTCACCCACAGTGAATCACGGTGAAGCACCTCACATCACACAAAGGGCACATAGAGGCTAGCTGTGGGGATCAGCCATTGCTGGCAGATAGGTGAAAGGTGAGCCCCAACCACATCCCACAGAGAACCAGGCTTAGTGAACAGAGGGTTTTGAGCTACTGGACACCACAGAATGCCCACTTCATAAAGCCATTACTTTCAAGACCAGGAGGCACAGATGATCTATCCAATACAAAGGAAGAAACACAGAAACACAGACAAAATGAGGAGGCAAATGAATATGTTCCAAACAAAAGAACGAGATAAAACCCAGGGAAAGGGTTAAATGAAACGGAGATAAGCAATCTTCCTGATAAAGAGTTCAAAGTAATAATCATAAAGATGCTCACTGAAATAGGGAAATGAATTCAGGAGCTCAAAGAGAATTTCAACAGAGAGAGAGAAAATATGAAAAAGAGCCATTCAGAGCTGAAGAATGTAATAACTGAAATGAAAAAATGCAACAGAGTAATGAATAGCAAGAATAGGTATGATGGAAGATAGAGAACAGCAGAGTAACCAACTGAGGAACAGAAAGAAAATAAAATTTCTAAAAATGAGAGGATGCTAAGAGAGTTGTGTGACAACTCCAAACAAAGCAATATTCACATAATATGGGTCCCAGAAGGAGAAAAGAGAGAAGCAAAGGCATAGAACATTTATTTGAAGAAATATTACTGAAAACTCCCTCAATCTGAGGTAGGAAAAAAGACATCCAGGTCCTGGAATTATGAGAACCCCTAACAAGAAGAACCCCAGGAAGACAAAACTGTGACATACACTAATTAAAAGGGAAAAGATTAAAGATAAAGAGAGAGCCTTTTAGCAGCAAGAGAGAGGCAGATAGTTACCTACAAAGGAAAATCCATCAGGCTATCAACAGAAACTTTACAAGCCAGAAGGGAGTGGCATGAAATATTCAACGAATTGAAAGAGAAAAACCTACAATCAAGAATCCTCTACTCATTAAGGTTACCATTCAGAATTGAAAGAGAGATTAAACATTTCCCAGAAAAATGAAGGTTAAAAGAATTCACCACCACTAAACTAACCTTACAGGACAATTAAAGGGACTTCTTTACATGAAAATGTTCTTAAGTCTAATTATTAATCAGTGAAAATAAACTTATAGTAAAGGGTATACCAACTACCTACTAAGCAAGTAAGAAGTTAAAAATAAACTAAAGCAGGAATAAGTTTTGTACACAGAGGATTCAAGATGGTAGCATGAGAGGTAAGACAGAGAACTCTTCCCAAAACCACATATAGTATGAAAATATAATTAATACAACTAATCCTAAAACAGGAACTGGAAAGAAGGCTGCACCAGATGGCATGCACCTGGAGAACATAGCAGACCTCACGAAACAGGGTAACGTACCAAAGCCTTGATATGGTGGGACTCAAGCCCTTCCCCCACCCCAGCTCACCAGTGGGAGGAAGAGAAACAGAGCAGGGAGGGGGCAGAAGCCAAGAACTACTGAACACCCAGCCCTGGAGGTCTGCTTTGGAGCATAAACCTACATTCTGTGGTAGTGGTCTAGAGGTTGGTGGGGTTGGGGAGCTGGGGCACACAGAGTGCTTGAGAGACTGAGATTCCAGCCATTTATGGAGGATGGAGATCCACATCCAGCCTCTCTGGAACAAAGGAAAGGCGGGCAGTCTGAGAGGCTTCCTAGCAGTGAGAGAGCTGCTGGAGGGGCAGGGTTTGCATGGAGCTTGCTGCATGGGAGAAGGGATAGGTGAGCAAGGTTGTCTGAGCACACTGTGCCCAGCAGGTTGGGAACTTTAAGGAGCTTAAGGAGCTCCATCCCCCTGGCTGCCTAATCAGCTCCGAGGCCCCCCACTGTGACACACAACCTACTGCACCTTCCTACTGGCCTGCCAATGCTGGCTCCCAAGCCGACAGTCACTGCAGTGGCATCAGGCCATCCAGAGGGAGGCCCCGCATACAACAGCAAGAGAGGCAAAGCACAGAGGCTTACACCTGTGTGCTTGGTCCACTGGCTCTGATACTGGATACAGGCACTGCAGCTGGAAACCAGGAAACAGTTCTTTTTTCCCTCCAGGCACCAGTGCCACTCCCCTGTGACACCCCACTCTCATTCCAGGGGCTGAGAAGCTCCAGAGACTACAGCTTCTGGGCACTAGAGGGCGCCACATAGAAATATGAAACATCAAAGGAACCTAGTCCACACCAAAATCTCACAAACCTCAGAAAAAGGGCCAAACAAAACTGAACTCACCAATCTTGCTGAAGGAGACTTCAAAATAAAAATCATAAACATGCTCATGGAGGTAAAAAATATTCACTAACTCAGGGACAAATTTACTTAACATGGACATGCAATCATTAAGAAATTCTATATCGGAAATGAAACACACAATGGAGGGATTTAAAAGCAGATTACGTGTAGTACAAGAGATGGTAAATGGAATAGAAATTAGAGAAGAGGAATGCAAAGAAGCTGAGGCACAGAGAGAAAAAAGGATCTCTAAGAATGAAAGAATATTGAGAGAACTGTGTGACCAATTCAAATGGAACGATATTCGCATTATAGGGGTATCAGAAAAAGAAGGAGAGAAAAAGGGACACAAAGTGTCATTGAGGAGGTAATTGCTGAAAAATTCCCCAATCTGGGGAAGGGGATAGTCTCTCAGGCTGTGGAGGTACACAGATCTCCCAACACAAGGAAACCAAGGAGGACAACATCAAGACACATAATAGTTAAAATGGAAGAGATCAAGGATAAAGACAGACTTTCAAAAGCAGCTAGAGAGAGAAATAAGATCACATACAAAGGAAAACCAGCAGGCTATCATGAGATTTCTCAAAAGAAACCTTACAGGCTAGAAGAGAATGGCATGATATATTTAATGCAATGAAAATGAAAGGCCTCAAACCAACAATACTCTACCTGGCAAGGTTATCATTTAAATTTGAAGGAGGGATTAAACAATTTTGAGATAAGCAAGAGCTGAGAGAATTTACCTCTAACAAACCACACCTACAGTGCATTTTGGAGGGACTGCTATAAATGGAAATATTCCTAAGGCTAAAAAGATGTCACTAGGGGAAATAAAACATTAACAAAGTAGAACAATTAATTAGTAAGCAGATGTGAAATCAAATCAACTACCCCCAAAGTCAATCAAGGGATAGACAAAGACTACAGAATATGATATCTAACATATAAAGAATGGAGGAAGAAGAAAAAGGAAAAAAAAAAACCTTTAGGATCCTTTTGTAATAGCATACTAAATTAGTTAAATTAGACTGTTAGATAGTAAGAGAATTACCCTTGAACCTTTGGTAACCACAAATCTAAAGCCTGAAATGGCAATAAGTACATACCTATCAATAAATATCCTAAATGTAAATGATCTGAATACACCAATCAAAAGACACAGAGTCACTGAATGGATAAAAAAACAGACTACAACAGATTCAATTCAAACCCAAAAACACACACAGACTAAAAGTAAAGGGATGGAAAAAGATATTTCATACAACTAATAAGGAGAAAAAAGCAGGAGTTGCAGTACTTGTGTCAGACAAAACAAAGAAAGTCATGAGACAAAGAAGGGCATTACATAATGATAAAGGGGTCAGTCCAACAAGAGGATATAACTATTATAAATAGCTACACAACCAACACAGGATCACCTACATATGTGAAACAAATACTAACAGAATTAAAGTAGGAGAGAGAATGCAATGCATTCACTTTAGGAGACTTCAACACACCACTCACTCCAAAGGACAGATCAACCAGACAGAAAATAAGCAAAGAGACAGAGGCACTGAGCAACATATTAGAACAGAGGGACCTAATGAACATCTACAGAACACTCCATCCAAAAGCAACAGGATACATACACATTCTTCTCAAGTACACGTGGAACATTTTCAAAAACAGATTATATACTAGGCCACAAAAAGAGCCTCAGTAAATTCAAAAAGATAGAAATTGTACCAACCAGCTTCTCAGACCACAAAGGTCTGAAACTAGAAATAAATTACACAAAGAAAATGAAAAAGCCCACAAACACATGGAGGCTTAATAACATGCTCCTAAATAATCAATGGATTAATGACTAAATAAAAACAGAGATCAAGCAATATATGGAGACAAATGACAACAATAATTCGACACCACAAAATCTGTGGGATGCAATGAAGGCTGTGCTAAGAGGGAAGTATATTGCACTACAAGCCTACCTCAGGTAAGAAGAACAATCCCAAATGAACAGTCTAGTCCCACAATTAATGAAACTAGAAAAGGAAGAACAAATGAGGCCCAAAGTCAACAGGAGTGACATAACAAAGATTACAGCAGAAATTTAAAAAAATTGAGAAGAATAAAACAATGAAAAGAATCAATGAAAGCAGGAGCTGGTTCTTTAATAAAATAAACAAAATAGATAAACTCCTAGCCAGACTTATCAAGAAATAAAGAATGTCTACACACAAAAATAGAATCAGAAATGAGAAAGAAAATAATCACTGTGGACACCACAGAAATACAAAGAATTATTAGAGAATACTATGAAAAAATTATATGCTAACAAACTGGATTACCTAGAAGAAATGGACAACTTTCTAGAAAAATACCACCTTTCAAGGATGACCCAAGAAGAAACAGAAAATCTGAATAGACCTATTACCAGAAAGGAAATTGAATTGGTAATCAAAAAACTACCTAAGAACAAAACCCCTGGACCAGATGGTTTCACTACTGAATTTTATCAAAGACTTAGTGAAGACCTAATAACCATCCTTCTTAAAGTTTTCCAAGAAGTAGAAGAGGAGGGAATACTCCCAAACTCATTCTATGAGGCCAACATCACTCTAATACCAAAACCAGGCAAAGACAATACAAAAAAAGAAAATTGCAGACCAATATCCCTGATGAATATAGATGCAAAAACACACACAAAACATTAGCAAATAGAATGCAAAAATATATTAAAATTATCATCCATCTTGATCAAGTGGGATTCATCCCAGGGATGCAAGGATGGTACAACATTCAAAAATCTATCAACACCATCCGCCACATCAACCAAAAGGACAAAATAATGATCATCTCCATAGATGCTGAAAAGGCGTTTGACAAAATTCAACATCCATTCATGATAAAAACTCTCAACAAAATGGGTATAGAGGGCAAGTACCTCAACATAGTAAAGGCCATATATGACAAACCCACAGCCAACATCATACTTAACAGCAAGAAGCTGAAAGCATTTCCTTTAAGATTGGGAGCAATTCAAGGATGCCCACTCTCCCCACTTTTTTTCAACATAGTTCCGGAGGTCCTAGCCATGGCAATCAGACAACACAAAGAAATAAAAGGCATCCAGATTGGTAAAGAAGAAGTTAAACTCTCACTGTTTGCAGATGACATGATATTTTACACAAAACAAACCTAACGAATCCACTCCAAAACTATTAACTCTAATATCTGAATTCAGCAAAGTTGCAGGATACAAAATTAACACACAGAAATCTGTTGCATCCCTGTATACTAACAATGAACTAGCAGAAAAAGAAATCAGGAAAACAATTCCATTCACAATTGCATCAAAAAAATAAAATACCTAGGAATAAACCTAACCAAGGAAGTGAAAGACCTATACTCTGAAATCTACAAAACACTCATGAGGGAAATTAAAAAAGATACCAATATACGGAAACACATCCTGTGCTCATAGATAGGAAGAATTAATATAGTCAAAATGGCCATGCTGCCTAAAGCAATCTACAGATTCAATGTACTCCCTATCAAAATATCCAGCATTCTTCAACAAACTAGAACAAATAGTTCTAAAATTCATATGGGACCACAAAAGACCCCAAATAACCAATGAAATCCTGAGAAGGAAGAATAAAGCAGGAGGAATTATGCTGCCTGACTTCAAGCTCCACTGCAAAGCCACAGTAATCAAGATAATTTGGTACTGACACAGAAACAGACCCATAGACCAGTGGAACAGAATAGAGATTCCAGAGATTAACCCAAGCATATATGGTCAATTAATATATGATAAACGAGCCATGGATATACAACAGGGAAATGACAGCCTCTTCAACAGCTGGTGTTGCCAAAACTGGACAGCTACATGTAAGAGAATGAAACTGGATTGTTGTCTAACCCCATACACAAATGTAAAGTCAAAATGGATCAAAGACCTAAACATAAGTCATGAAACAATAAAACTCTTGGAAGAAAACATAGGCAAAAGTCTCTTCAATATAAACATGAGCAACGTTTTCCTGAATGCATCTCCTCAGGCAAGTGAAACAAAATCAAAACTGAACAAATGGAACTCTATCATGCTAAAAAGCTTCCATACAGCAAAGGACACTATCAGCATAACAAAAGGGCATCCTAAAGTATGAGAGAATATATTTGTAAATGACATATCTGACAAGGGGTTAACATCCAAAATATATAAAGAACTCATACACCTCAACACTGAAAATGCAAATAACCCTATTAAAAAATGGGTGGAGGATATGAACAGACAAATCTCCAAAGAAGAAATTCAGATGGCCAACAGGCACATGAAAAGATGCTCCTCATCACTAATTATCAGGGAAATGTGAATTAAAACCACAGTGAGATATCACCTCATGCCAGTTAGGATGGCCAGCATAGAAAAGAATAGGAACAACAAATGCTGGCAAGTATGGGGAGTCAGGGGAACCCTCCTACACTGCTGGTGGGAATGTAAATTAGTTCAACCATTGTGGAAAGCAGTATGGAGGTTCCTCAAAAAACTAAAAATAGAAATACCATTTGACCCAGGAATTCCACTTCTAGGAATTTACCCTTAGAATGCAGCAGCCCAGTTTGAAAAAAACATATGCACCCCTATGTTTATCGCATCACTATAAAAAATAGCCAAAAAATGGAAGCAACCTAAGTGTCCAGCAGTAGAAGGTGTGGTACATACACACAATGGAGTATTATTCAGCCATAAGAAGAAAACAAATCCTACCATTTTCAGCAGTGTGGATGCAGCTGGAGGGTGTTATGTTCAGTGAAGTGGGCCAGGCAGATAGGGACAGGTGCCAGGTGATTTCACTCATCTGTGGAGCATAAGAATAAAGCAAAAACTGAAGGAACAAAACAGCAACAGACTCACATAACCCAAGAATGGACTAACAGTTGCCATAGGTATAGGGAATGGGGGGTGGTGGGTGGGAATGTAGGGAGAAGGGGAATAAAGGGCATTATGATTAGCATACATAATGTAGCGAGGGGGCACAGCAAAGGCAGTATAGCACATGGAAGACAACTAGTGATTCTATAGTATCTTACTATACTGATGGACAGTGACTGTAATGGTGTATGTGGTGGGGACTTGATAATGGGAATCTAGTAATCACAGTGTTGCTCATGCAATTGTATATTAATGATACCAAAATATAAATATAAATATAAATTAAAAATAAACAATTTTTTAAAAAACACTAAAGCAGTAAATTTAACTATAGACTAAATCAGTCAAGGTGAACACAAAAAATTCATGGTGCACAGATGGCTCCATCCATGGACAGCACACAAAAGGAAGGGCTATAGCTTTCCAACCTAATACTGAGACAATATGGATGGAAGACAGGGAGGGCAAGAGCACTCAGTGGGCAGAGTTGAGGGCAGTGTGGCTCATGATCACCCAGGACACTTCACCATTATTTGTCTACACTGACAGCTGGGCCATCTATTGAGGCTTGACTCTGTGGCTACTGACACGGTACCATGCCAAATGGGTAGTTTTTCACTGACCCTTTTGGGGGCAAGATTTGTGGCAAGACTTATGGTCCTGTGGTCAGACCAAAACAGTTACAGTATATCATGTGACAGGTCATTTGCCACTGGCATCCCCAGGAAGTGATGAATAATGCAGCAGATGAATTGGCCCAGGTGCATTGGCTAGAAGGAAAGCCTACCTCTAATGTGGCCAATGGTTACATCAGCATTTATTGCATGCAGTACAGAAGACAATGTTGGCCATAGCTTGTTGGTAGGGCTTGCCTTTGACTGTTGAAGAAGTCAGCAGAGCCTGGCAGGAATGCATTGTATGCTCTAAAAGCAAGTTACACCAAGTCCCACAGCAATATGGGGCAATAGCAAAGGGCCAATACCCCTTCACAGGTGGCAGATAGACTATAGTGGACCTCTGCCCATGTCATAAGGATATCAGTATGCCATGACTGGTGTAGACACAGCTACTGGACTTCTGGTTGCTTTTTTGCATGTTGCTCAGGCCAAAATAGGCTTGGAGTGTCTCCTTGCAGCCGATGGTCAACCACAAGTAATTGAGAGTGATCAAGGCACCCACTTTACTGTACTTGCACTGCAAGAATGGGTGCAACAATTAGGGTTAAAGGGGAAGTTTCATGTACCATATAATCTGACTGGGACAGGCATCACAGAGAGATACAATGGTTGATTAAAATCTGGCCCAAAGACTATATCAAGCTGAAAAGCCTCTGTACAGCAAAGGACACCATCAATAGAACAAAAAGGTACCCTCCAGTATGGGAGAATATATTCATAAATGACAGATCTGATATGATAAAGGGTTGACATCCAAAATATATAAAGAGCTCAAGCACCT